CGTGATTGTAGAAAATTCCGAGTTTCTGACACTTTTTTTGTCATTTCAGAAATGGTTGGAACAGCATTAGTGTCTACAGTAGAATACGTTTCACCAAAATCGTCATCTTTCTCATTATCGCTTAAAGCTGTAGATGAGGTTACGGAGTCTATAATTTGCTCATCGGTCAACATTTCTCTTGTAAGAATGCCATTATCAATGCTCACATATTCGAAGAAATTGAAATCACTCAATTTGATTTTAACTTGTTCTTCGACAACATTGGGACATCTTCGTCTGTGTCGTACTCGTAGTCAGTCAAAACGCGGCAAAAAACAAGTCACTGCCTGTTTCTCGCTCTCACTAATATAACCAACTCCGCACGATTCGTGTTGCTGAGCGTGGAAGTTTGTTATAAACGGAAAGTGAATATACAACTATCCTAAAAAGTGATCGTTATATCCGGAAGTTCGTTATAACCAGTAAAAAAATACGTTGGTCTTTATGGATGACGGTTCAATTAATGGGAAAAAGTTCGTTTTAATCGAAAGTTTACTATAACCGGGTTCACTATAAGCGGACTTTACTGTATAAGAATTTTAGGTGGTAATTTAGGAGAAAACATAATGAAGCATTCATCATGACAACTCCGCAATGAGGGAGTACGTGATAGTGATATGTAGTAAGAGGGGAAGACGATTTGTTGGACAAGTAAATACGGCAATTTCTCGTGTTTTTTGGTGATAATAAGTGCTAATGGTGATATTAATAAACTGTTACGCTTAAAAGAAATCGTGCGAAGTGGTTTAATTTGCAGGAAAATCGGCCTGAATTTTCCCAACCTGTACTGTTTTGCACGATTCTAAACAAGGACCAGTGCCGTGAGTTGTTTTGAATCTATAAGCTAAGAGCCATATCGCTATGAAATGCTTAAAAAATTTGTGTGGCTATAATAGCATTTATAATTTCAAACATAATGTAGAGATAAAGGTCAGAAAATGAATGAATCTTTCATGCTTAGAATAAATCGATTAATACAGATATTTAATACGCCTATGGCTAGCAGCCAGGCGAGTTGGTTTTCCGATTAATTCTACTCTCCTCTAAATCGCCGATCGGTAGAATCTAATGTTGGTGCCAAACAAATTGGGAATTATGAATGACTGGCTTGGCCTATTTATTAATGTCTTTACCTGCACACCAACCACATTTTTGAAGCGTGAAAAGTGCCACCATGGCGTTTCGGTACAAGCCAAATTAAGTAAACACATTCATCTGACGCTACCATAATTTTCTCGCTCGTGTGCTTGATCCCGTCCAGTCCTGTGAGTTCGATGCAGGACGACAATCGCTAGCGACTTTTAGACGCAGCGTCTAACCTTAAGAATGGAACAAGTTCCATCCTCGGCGACTGTCGCTAGTATCGGCTACAAAAAGTCGCCCGTCTGCGGGTGCCCTTAATGGCAACAATTATTGTTCCAATCCATTGGAACGAGTGATAAAATTTAAGCATAAAGCTAAACTGTAACTAATTGCTTCAATCAGACTTCTTGTTAACTAATTGCTTGCCTATAACATGAGTAATAATCATAATGCGCTGATAAGAAAATAATGACTTGATCTTGATGAGTTTGGGTTGATGTGATTATCAACGTAAATGTGTTAAAATTCCGATATCAAACGATAAGAAAAAGCTTAGAAGCACAGGCCTCGTTTCCTCCAATAACTTTAAAAGAAAAGTGAAAAAAACATGCGTGAAAGAACGAATAACTAGACTTGGAAAGGCAGAGTAGCACAAACTCACCTATTATTTGGAGTAAAATTTACGTTAAACTAGATGCAAAAAATGTTGAAATAACCGTTAACTAGCAGATCATGTTTTCACAGTTCTATGAAATAGTAATAAGAATAAAACGCATTAGTCAGCCAACTTTGCTATACAACCTGTTTATTGTTCCTACGGATTCGCATTAAATAAGTAATCTGAACAAAATAGAAAGTCCTCATATCTTTACGTTGGTACAAACATAAGTTCTCCATTCATTTATATTTATTTTGTATAGTTATAAGCACTCCATTTAATCTCAACACTTACTATTTTTTCAAATCAATTTTCTGATGGTTTAAAAAACGGGTTTTAATTCAAATAAGCTTGAGACAACGTTCAGGAGAAGTATTAAATGAATGTATACTGGATATGCTCATGCCAGGTAAACATGTATGAGCATGGATTCACAAAAACACGTTAGTCTAATTATAAAAACCAACATCTACTGTACCGACTAATAACAATTTCTATAGCGGATATTGCTCGCTATTGTCGATAAGTAGCGATGGATATCTATGAACATACTCATATATTATTCACCATCTAACTACGGTTAAAAACCCAATCACTTTGTGTGGAATAGTTCGCAATCGAACATGATGTTCATTAAGTGAAAATATAAAAATGCTGCCCAGCAACGCTTCCTCTTATATCATCTGCTGATTGTTAAATATACATATTTCTAACATAAACCAATGCAACAAGTACGTGTACGTTTGATTTGAGTATAGCTATGTCTATGTTTACGTTAATTTTATTAATTTCATAATTTTTAATTGAATCGCGGATATTTATTTTATGTAAACAAGCTTCACCGTAGAAGCTTTTCTTCAAATTAAGTAGTATACGATAATTGTAAACCTAAATTAAATTAATTCATGATTTTTTAAGGCAAGCTTGAATTGTGATGAAACGTGATAATTTATATTATGATGGATCTTACAGCGAAATCTTCTGCTCGTATAAAATGCTAGCTAATAATGGTGCGATTTAAAAAATAAACACCTAAGTAAGTACCTACATGTTTTGGACGAGCACTTTATCTACACTTAGTCACAAATCGTTAATGCATATGTTGGACAAAATGTGAATATCTCAATATTTTATACAAAGACTACAAAAGATTTGATTCATTGTGATTTAATTTAGCTGGAAGTACACCTACGCGTGAATCAAGATTATTAAGGATGCTGTACAACGAACTTTCATTGTGATTTTTTCTGTGGTAAACAAAGCGAGCGTGTAAGAGTGTAGAACAGCATTTCTAATAGATGTGTGCCTAATCTAGGGAAGCAATCAACTTATTTGACATTGTGCCAATCCGAAAATCATGCAAGAAAACCATAAGGTCGGCCATGGTGGTCAAAATAATAAAAGTCAGGGACAGACTTTGGAATGTGGCGTCTGCTGAAAGCCTTTAACTTGAGTAGTTCCATTGACATTCCGTGGCCCGTGGCGCTGAGAACGCAGCCCACTGTTTTTATGAAAATTTCAAAAGTTCTACAGTATGTAACTATGAATTAGTTGAAACTGGATTTTTACCTAGTAAGTAGACTTCTTTTCGTTTATCGCACTCTTTGGACGTGAAAGCACATGGCATGCGCCTAAAAGATAACTTTTCAACACTGCTTCTGGATTGAAAAATGCAAACAAAAACACATTCGCCGGCTGTTTCAACGTTGTTAAACTATGACATCGATCAACATCAACACACACTTAAGAAACTAACAACATACCACTAAAACCTCATTAAAAATCACGTAGTTTGAAGCGTTGAGGTTAGAATTGGTTTTGTCTATTAAACTTATATTTGTTGACAGTCCACGTCCAATGCACCAAATACGAATATCAGTTTATTGCGCTGGTGTTCAATCACTCACAAGGTTTATATCGCAACTTAAGGTAAATAACAAGAACTGGGTAATGCTAGACCGACGTGACGTCCCCAAATAGCCCACACATTTCGATAATCGAACGTAAATCCACGACCCGTTCGGAATCGGCTGACTACCGTCTTGTTTCGCAGACCAACCAGAGAACCAGACTTGTTCTACCCCACCCTGGATGACGCAAGCGCCTACCTGTCATGCTCTCAGAAGCCTAGGCCACAGTGTGCTTATCCTCTCTCTAGCAGTGTTGCCGCGTTTCCTTATTTATTCTACATTTCAATCAAAAAATGTCCTTACTCAGTCCTGGGCATTTTCAATTAGACAGGAAACAATTGCTACCAGTGTTACCTGATCGACATAGATTACAGCTGTGTCAATTTATTTTCTGTTCATTGCAGCATGCCCAATTGTCAAATATTTTTTTAAATAAAACATTTCATTTTGTCTCAATTTGCACTTGCAATAGAAAGCTGAAAAAGGGTTTTGAACCAAAACAGCAGGCCTAATACGGATTACCATAACTTTATTGGAGACTAATGTGTATCTTGTATCTGTCTTGTTCATGGACTACATTTTAAGTTCCACATGTGCAACGAAGTGAGATTCATTTCCAATTCTAAAGAATTACATTTTTAATGTATGACACAAGTTTGAAACGATTTTTTATAAAGGTCTCAACTAATTACTTCAACATACTGTTACTCGTTCGGTTTTGTAGATGGCGGCGCCATTCTGTATCTGCCACTCGCATCCAACAAATCAATTCTCTATAGCCGGCTCCACACAGAGCCATAGATAAAAACAAGTCGCACGCAGCGACCGAAAGTTTAGAAGACAAGCGTCTAGGTATACGGCACTTCTTGTCAATTCTATCGATTGCGGCGATTCGAATCTAGCGGTTTGTTATGATTTAAGACGATTTAAGGTTAGGTGATTTTTTCCCGGTATTTTATTGTAACCGTAAACTCTTTGGATTTTATTAATATAGTGTTGGACTTTGACTGCGACGTAGACCAAATGGGGCGTTTTAATAATAAAAATGTATTATTGAGCAAATCGATAGTTGGCTTAAGTTATTTTCCTATGTGCAATGTGCAAATTTAACTAAAACAAATATCAACGATTCTTTAATTTTAAAGTAACAGAAAAAATAAAATTACTGTTGTAAGAGTCAAGAAATATTAAGCAAAATAATTGCTGGTATCTTCTGTTTCCATTTACTTTTTGTTTAATATGGCACACTAAGCAACACATGAAAATAATTGCCTTTTTACACTATTCCAACAAAAGTGGAATACCAACAACGTAGTTCGACTTTTTAATAGGTAGTATTATGTGAATTAATTTCATTAATCAGGCGTATAAAATACTAGGATTTGTAATCAGAAATTTTAAATGTTTTAACAATAATACAATATTGTATTATTACATTTTTAGTATTTAATGTCATAAGCACTCTTACTTGTTATTGCCACTTGGGTGATGTTTATTATAAGTTTTACAGATAAATAAATCTATGGAATGTATTTACTAATTTGAAAACTATCCATATAAATGTATCGATGTATGTAAGGATATTCAATATACTGTCAAATATACAATAAACCAAACTTTTTAGGAGATTTATTTAATGGTTTAAGTTGCTTACTTAAATACTACGAATAGAAAATCTAATACCTACTTAAGTTGATCAGAATAAATCATTTGTAAATTGTTATAAATTAAGAAATACTCATAATTATCACTGTCTTTCTTTGTGCTAATATAAAGGCAATGCTATTATTTTTGTTCAAACAAATTCAAACAATCGCTCTTAAAAAATTAAAAATTACTAGCCAAGAGCGTATAAAATTTACCTATGAATTTCTGTACGATACTATGTGTTTGTCATTTTTATCTAGAGCTTATATACGGTTCGAAATGCACGAGAGAATGAAAAAAAATATTAGCGGACTCGCGGTTGTTTATCTCGACAAATTAGAAAATAATTATCATCAAACAATAAATAAAACCATAGAGTAAGTAAAATAATTATTATTTTGCTTACTTATTTTACTTTCTCTATGAATAAAACCACCTAACCTTAAATCGTCTTAACTCATTTTTAAAACTTGTCAACGATACCTTCGATAACAACAAACCGGTAGGCTTATTTGATTGGTTCGAATCGCCGCAATACCTAGACGCTTGTGTTTAGGAGCCAGTCTCAAATAATTTGTGTCATCAAAAGAGGATAATAACAGCAGTTGTTCAATTTTTCCCTTTTCCTTAGCCGTTCTTTGATTTTTTTCCTTTTTCTAGTATTATCATCGTCATCATCCAGGGCAGTTGCAAAAATAGTGCAGGTTATGGCACTTGAAGTCATGTTTGCAATACAGTGAGCAACGTCTAACTATAAATTGAATAAACTTCATCAAGTGTTGGGGCACACAAAATTTCGCAATTTGTTCGACAATGTAATGGGCTCCTTTAGTTGCAAGTCCTGTTCAGTCCTGTTGCTCACCATAGAGAAAATAAATTATTTTATTTAATGGGCAATTGGTACCTATATGTGCTCTAAATAGTATATGTATTATCTATATCTTGATAACAATGAAATTTATTAGTGGTTAGAGGCTTTAAATATAAAACGTCATTCTTGTATTATATTCAAAGCTTCCAGTCTTAGGTGCATGTGCTAACCTCAATATAAGTACACAGCAAAAATTACAATTATATCTTAAACACTACATGTAAATATATGAATCGACTAAACTAAATACATTGATATAAAACTGTTGGATATTAACTATCCAACGGTAATGGCTTGAATTGAGTTCATGGTTATTTTTCAGATCTTTTTTGTTGCAAAATAACTGTTATGCTATCTAGAAATTGGCCAAATAAATCAAATACTGCTTAAATGGTTATTAGCATTTCTAATTATAATTTCAAAGAGTAAAACGTATTTAATTGCGTGAATAATTTTAGTTCAAATAAATGAAATACATAAGCCGCTGATTGGTTGAAAGGAACAAATGGGATTAACGACTCTGTTAACGAATCACGAATAGCTTGTCCTGCGTACGTCACCGAAGTATGGAGCTACTTACTACTTGTTGAATGTTCGCTTATGGTTGTCTTTGCTTATGGTTCACTTTTCAGTTTGTTCCATTCAGTATTCAGTCTGATTCAGTGTTGAAAGTGCTCCGCTGTGATTTGTTGCTGACAGTCAAGTGTTTGTAATAATTAAAAATTGCTGTTGTATTTACGGCACAACCAATCATTATGCCGAATTATCACAAATTGGAGGCTAAAGCCGTGCAGGAACTAAAAGATATTGCCAACAAGATCAGAATCCACTCAATAATATCCACACAAGCTGCTAATTCCGGGTAAGTGTGGAATGTGATTTCAATTAATTAATCCACATGGTATGAGTTGAACCAGTTTCAAATCGCATGAATAGGTTTCCATTTCTAGGTCCGGTCAGACTCCAGATTGACCTTTGCTATTTCTGTGCTAGAATACTCCCGTTATTGCAAAGCAATATAGGTATTATCCTTTGTTTAGCAACGCTGTTATAGATAGCAAATATGTTATTTATTATAAGAAGTCAGTGAGTAATCGGTTTTTAGCTCTGCTAAGCTTTATGACAACCAGGACCAGGCTCATGTGAATTGTCCCGCCCGCAATAACAAATACTCTATCTACTACATTACAAGGGTGGTGCAGGTTTTACAATTTACTCAGCCTTTCCTATCGCGGTGTGTGTGTGTGATTTTTGCAATTTTTTTTAAATTGCAGTTGCTCTGTTTGTTTTTGTTTGCGCTGCTAACACACGAGTAATTATTGTTGAAATTATTGAAACTGCGTCTTATGTGTACATCAACTGCAAACCTTGCAATTTTTTTGGTTTCATTTCCTGTTTACGAACTTGCAAAACTTTTTTATTCGATACTCTATGGATGGTTTGTTACTTGAAACACAAGAGACGCAGACTCGAGTGCTCAGCATTTATTTTGCCTCCCATAATATAAGTGACAATTATTCTTGTAGCATAAATATATAAAAAAATATGTGTTTTCTAAATACTTATAATTTTAAAAATTTAGGAATGTTGTCCGGGCTTTGAAACCGTGGTCTATGGGAATTTCTTCCTGACGTTTCGTCCACAACTGCGGTGGACATTATCAAAGGCGATGAGGCAGTGGGCGAAGTGATCTCCCGTGCTTTCCGACTAAGACTGGTTCAGCCAGACTGATCCAATTTTTATATGTCCAATAATTTAACCGGCCGTGAAAGCCTTTATAGTCTGATAACTTTAGTTTTACTTTGTTTTTTTTTTATTATTTTACTTAAGGGCACAATTTGTCTGTGATTGTTCTAATTAGTACGTTATCAACTGCGATTAGTTGGGTAATTCATTGCTTGATAATCTCAAAATGTCAAAAATGTCAAAAATGTCAAAATATTCATTCACATTCAATGGTTTCAACGAATTATTAGCTATGCAATTTTATAAACGCAGTATCCATTTTATCTTGGATGCTCGACTGATTTATATGTTTGCATTGTGGACGAAACGTCAGGAAGAAATTCCCATAGACCACGGCTTAAAAGCCCGGAAAACATTCCTAAATGTGATTTAACCGGCCGTGAAAGCCTTCATAGACTTATAATTTTACAACAAATTGCAGTCATCCTACATCATGTTCATCCATCGGCGAAATTCTATCAGTATTATTCTTCCATACCATGCGCTATAAAGTGTCAGCCCCTCGAGACCCTTCCAGCGATAGATTTGTCCTTTCAAAAGGTCATGCTGCACCTGCTTTGTACGCTGCTTGGGCAGAAGCAGGATTGTTTTCCATATCAGATCTTCAGAACCTTAGGAAGTTTAAATCTGATCTCGAAGGCCACCCTACGCCTAGACTTAACTTTATTGATGTAGGCACTGGATCTTTGGGGCAAGGTCTTGCTATTGCCGGTGGCATGGCATATGTTGGGAAGTACTTCGATAAAGCCAGTTATCGGTAAATAATGTGCGATTATATTATAACAGATTTAATTCAAATAAGTTGTCTTCAGGGTATATTGTTTGATTGGTGATGGCGAAAGTGCAGAAGGTTCAATTTGGGAATCGGTTCATTTCGCATCTTATTACAAACTTGATAATCTGTGCATAATTATCGACGTAAACCGTCTTGGCCAATCTCAAGAAACTTCCATTGGTCACGATGTGGAGAGTTACAGGAAAAAAATGGAGGCTTTTGGTACTGAAGCTATTATTGTAGATGGACATGATGTTGAAGAGTTAGTAAAGGCATTTCATAGTGCCTCAGCTACCAAGGGAAAACCAACCGCTATCATCGCTAAGACTTTGAAGGGGAAAAACTTTCCGAAGGTAATTCGTTTCGACGCAAATCGCACAGTCTCACAATATTAATGTATTTGTAGATTGAGAATTTGGAAAATTGGCATGGAAAGCCATTAGGAGTCGAATCCGACGTAGTAGTCAATCATTTGAAGGGGTTGCTGCAAAATCCTGGACCTCTTCAAGTTCATCCCCAAAAACCCCTTAAAGAGGATGCGCCTACTGTTGACATAACTAACATTCGTCTCAGTTCACCACCGAACTATAAGCTTGGAGATCAAATTGCCACTAGAGTTGCATATGGTAAAATCTGAAGAAGACATCAGCATTCATTAATTTTTGATTTAAAGCCATTCACTCTTTTCTTCTCAGGAACTGCATTGGTCAAAATTGCACAAAACAATCCTAGAGTGATCGCTTTGGACGGCGACATGAAAAATTCAACATTCTCGGAAAAATTGCTTCAGTACGATCCCTCAAGATATATTGAATGCTTCATTGCTGAACAAAACTTGGTCGGTACGGCTATAGGAGCGGCATGTAGAGACAGAACTGTACCGTTTGTCTCAACTTTTGCCTGTTTCCTCACTAGAGCCTTCGATCAGGTAAGTCATAAAGTTGCTAATAATATGGTAATTCAAGTTTAAATTAATTAATATATATATATATATATATATAGATTAGAATGGGCGCAATTTCACAAACAAATGTGAACTTTGTCGGATCCCATTGTGGTGTAAGTATCGGAGAAGATGGTCCAAGTCAAATGGGATTAGAAGATTTGGCGATGTTCAGAGCAGTGAATGGAAGTACCATTTTCTATCCAGCAGATGCCGTTTCAACGGAAAGGGCAATTGAACTAGCTGCTAATACTAAGGGCATCACTTTTACTAGGACCAATAGACCTACCACCCCTGTAATCTATGCTAACAATCACGTCTTTGCTGTAAGTATTTATTTTATATAGCTACGATGTATTTTTGGAAGTTTCGCCATATATTTTTAATTTTCAGGTGGGCAAAGCCAACGTGGTGCTGTCATCACCTAAAGATCAAGTAGTATTGATTGGGGCAGGAGTGACTCTTCAAGAATCCCTATCTGCCGCTAAAGAGCTTGCCCAAGCAGGTATTGGTGCGAGAGTAATTGATCCGTTTACTGTTAAGCCTTTGGACAAGGAAACAATAATTAAAAACATAAAGGATGTCGGAGGCAGAGCAGTTGTGACCGAGGACCACTACTATCAAGGTGGCTTAGGGGAAGCAGTGATTGCTGCGCTTGCTATGGAAAAAGATATTATTGTCAAACATCTTGCTGTCGGTGAATTGCCTCGTTCCGGACCTCCAAACGCCCTTCTGCAATATTATGGAATATCTGCGAAACATATTAGCTCCGCCGCACAAGATATTTTAAAGCTATAAATGTATCTTTCCCACTTCTTTTGTGCTCTTTACCCAAGAATTTCATATACCTGTGTACTGTCGACATTCCAACTATTTGTGTCTTGAAAAAATAAATAATGTTTTTGCTTTATTATTTTGTGTTTTGCTGCAGATTTTTAGTCAAATTAAAAACCGAACTGACCTGGTCAGTATTTGATTGCGGATTATATTTCAATTCATTTTGCCCGTTTTCGTTGAAATATTTGCTCTGCATGGAAGATGCAATGAAACCTGGCCATGTGGAAGCAAATATTACAAACTTGTTACCTACCTACAACTTTTCATTATTGAAATAATTCTCTAAATTCTACTTAGTAAAATTGGTAAGCAATACTCGCAGATGAGCTGTAATGCCCGTAGTTCCTAGCGCCTAGAGGAAAAAGTGTGTGATAGTTTACTACCAGGACCGGATTAACTTGTGGTAGGGCCCGGTAGAGGCCCCTTTCTAAAAAAAGTTTGTGTCGCTAGTGCAGTTGAACTTCCCATTTTTTTGGATTTTATACTTGATCTTACCGAAGCCCCCAACATTGTGAGGCCCGGAGCTATAGCCCCCGTAGCCCCCCCCCCCTAGATCCAGCACTGTTAACTATATTGAATTAGTGAAACTAGACCTGGTTTGTAATCACACTTATGGGCCACCGATATTGTGATCATATCCAAACGGTTTTTCTGTTTTTATTATGTCCAATTTTTTCAAACTTGCTCTTCAATTCAATAGAGAGCGTAAAAAGTTATCATCAGCTAAACTAAAATTAATGGCAAGCTAATGACTCAATGGTATTTAAAGAGACGCCGACCTCTTTATATATGCACGTATATACCAAAAATATTTCCGTGCCACATATTAATTAGAATGTTGGGTGATAATTGCCTGCAATACATTGATTTATCACTTCTATTAATAAAGTAATAAGCAGGAGTTATACCTTAAGTATATATAAAGAAGTGCATATTTTACAAATAAACGTTCTCGGTAAATAGGATTGTTGTCCAGGAGAAGGCAAAACTTAAAATAAAGAAAAGCAGCTGTGCAATAAACAATTTTATTTAAAATACTATATATGGCTGAAATAATGCACATATCACATGGTTCCTACATTATTTTTCGTCAAATCTTTTACCTACAATTCGTCTAATAGATACTAATTATATTTATATTAATGCCATGAATCAAATTAAAGACTATTAAACAAATGCTTATGAGATTCGATAAACGAGGTAAACCTTAAGCAATTAAACCAAATAGGAAAAATGTCAAAATGCTTTTTAGTAGTCGATGTACGAACGTTATTAGTTAAAATAAATAAATAAACAATTGTCCTAACGCAGAAATCCATTCATTCAGTATATACAGGGTAGATAGACGAAAGGATATCAGCAGTAACAGCTGCTGGTGAGAACATGAAACAAATTAGCATGATCTGAATGCTTTAGTTAGGAAATTCTTTTACATGCTAATCCGAAGAACATTATCATATACCCAGAAATAAAATCTTTTGAATTTAATAAATGCAGAAATTTTGTTATTTTCTAATAATAGATTCTAGAGCAAGAACAATTAACAGTTTTTTCTTTAAACAAGAAAAATAATATTTTGTGATGTACAATATCAGCACTTGGGCATTATTGGTAAAATGTAATGTAATGTGAACTGATGACAGAAATCTTCGAGATTGAGTTCGGAACTGGCTGCAGTCGTGAAATTTGAGAATATTCATGAGTAAATCAAGCGATTTGACAAATATGGAAAATGTAGCGTCTAGTGAATAGCCTATAATGTGCTCGTAGTTTTCTGTCATGAAGCTTGGAATAAAAATGTCGCTATATCAGATAATATTCTCCACCCTGATTGGGCGGATAATGGAGATTCTCTTAAAGGTCCTGTAGCGATCTGCCTCTTATCATTGAAGTTATTTTCGTCCCTTATCGGTCACAAGCGTTTCTACATTTCGAGTCCACTGGCTATTGAGCAAAGAAAGCAAAATATTACTTTAGGGGCCTGTGCGAGGGGAAAATCTTTTATGCTGTTCATTGGTTCAGCTGAAACTGATCATAAAAGAGTCAGAGCAAATATTACTTGAGCGCACAAAATATTGATCATTTATTGTAATGAAAAATACCACTAATTGAATTTGAAAGCCATTTACAAAAAGAGTAAACTATAGGAACGTATCGTTTAGTACCTAGTTAATAAATGCAACCGATACATATTTTGAGAAAGCCTGAAACTCGTACACTGAGTCGGGACTAAATAACGTGAAAAACGCTAAAATATAGAATGTAGCTTATATTCAGCTGAATGGATCTGATATTGTATGTACATTCCAATTTAATATTACAAAATGACAAACTATATAACATGGCACAAGGTTGATACTGAATATACAGGGTGATTCAAAATAGGAGTCATTCCTCTGGGGGTGTTGTCTGGCGGTGTTATAGGAGTACAGAAAAACTAGTAAAATAAATTAATTGTTATTAAAAACTGAGAAATTTGCAAAAAACTATATCAGAAATACGGCAGCAATGTTTTTCAAGGTAATCTACCTAATTAACATTGCGCAAATACCTGTTGCTTCGTAATTATTTAAAATTCCGGTAACCATGGATAAATAGAGAGTGACAATAAGATAGACAAGGACAAACGGTAAATTCAACAGGAATCGTTGAATGACGGAACCTATTTCGAAATGTCAACCTGTTCTCATAACCTCGAATTCTGCGGAGTTTGGTGTTTACATAATTAATCCATACAACATCAATTTATTTGGTGCCTGGGAAAGTGTCAGTTATTGTGCTCTGAGTGCCCCTGGAAGGCCCTGATTCGATTATGTCCAATACTTGTTCCTCTGTGCTTGGAACCCGAACA